AGTCTTCTAAGTCATTCCATTCTTCTAAGTCATTCCATAATTTATCTTTAGACTCTATATCTAAACCTAATTGAGGTGCATAAGAACTTACAGTATTGAAAATCTTAGTATCAGTAATAATCTTAAAAGTTATAATTTTATTTCCAACTCTATTAATTTTTATAACATTATTTTTCAAACTTTTATATATAATAACACCACCATTTCTAGTGTCACTTTTACCAGAATACCAAAGTTTAAAACCTAGGTTATCAATCTCCTTAGTTTTTTCTCCAACTCATTGAGTTTCTTAAATACATAAGATATTAATCTTTCTATGAATCATAATATCAACAAATTCCACTAATTTATCATTGAGAGTACTTATATTCCAAGATCCTATCATAATATTAGTTTTATTAGTTTCATGGATTAACTTCTTTACCCGCATCCGTCAGTAATGTGAAAACCTTTTCTTATTTGATACTACACCCGGGCGCCAATATAGCGACCCTTGCACACTTTTCACTGTATTCAGGTCATACAATGCGTCGCTTCCAGAGGGAGCCCTAGCACTTACACAATAATCAAATGGATTCATGTCATGATTTTTTTCGACAAATTTTATAATATCTGTTGAATACCTTAACGCAACCCTCCACTTTTCACATCTGGGCTTAGGACCGTCAAAGGCAGTGTTAATATTCTGATCCCAATTCAAAAAATTTATTTGTTACCATGGATGTCATTTTTTTTTATTACAATCCTTTTTTAGCCTCATACAAGGAGGAACGAAATAAAAATTTGACTGTTGAGATTCAGGATTTTCATCAAACCATAGGATCACAAAATAGTATCTCTTCAACCTCGACTGTTCAACCTGAAGACTCGAGTGATATTATATCACGAGAAATGGTGTCGAGTTTTTAGTATTAAAAATGATTATGGTCTTCCTACAGTGTCAATGCATGTTGCTCATAACAAAGAATAAACAAGAAAAAAAACTAGGATTGTGATATTTGACATTGTCTATTCGCAGCAGAAGGTAACTCAAAAGAAAGGGTATACAAACTCTTTGTATTGCCCAGAATCCACAAAAACTCCAGGAAATGACCTAACTGAACCTTTACCTAATGTTCAGTCCATTTAATCTCTTAAGTTTTGAGCCTTCTAGTCTTGAACCTGAGCCTAGTTCAAATCCTAAGTCTAATAAGTATAGCCTTCCTGGTGTTGCTTGAAATGACCTAACTGAACCTTTACCTAATGTTCAGTCTATTTAATCTTTTACATTTTGAGCCTTCTAGTCTTGAACTTGAGCCAAGTTCAAATCCTAAGTCAAATAAGTCTAGACTTTCTGGTGTTGTTTGTAAAGGAGAAAGGTCTTGCACCCAATATCCATTGTCCCATTATGTGTCGTATGAAAATCTCTTATCCTTTCTTCGTGTGTTTACCTCACAGATGTCTTGTATGAAGATTCCAAGTATCACGCAAGATATACTAAAAGTCCCTAAGTGGAAGGAGAATGTATTCGAGGAGATGAAGGCTCTTAAACAAAATGGCACACGAAAATTAATTGATCTAGCTAGAGGGAAGACAATTGTTGGATGGAAATGGGTGTTCACAATCAAGTATAATTTTGATCGCTCTCTGCAATGCAACAATACAAGGCTCAACTTGTTTCCAAGTGATTCAAACCTATGGGATTGATTATTTAGAGATATTCGCTCCAATGGCAAAATTAGACAGTTGGAATTCTTTTGTCACCAGCAGCTAATCTTGATTATCCCCTACAAAAATCGGATATAAAGAATGCCTTCCTCGATGGGGGACTTAGGAAGAAATGTGTTTGAATGCCCCTCAAAAAATTAGTGAGAAATTTGACACAAAGGTGTGTAAACAAAAAAAAACCTTATACGGGTTGAAGCAATTTTGAGAAATTTACTATGTTTGTTAAAGGTCAAGGGCATACTCAAGGGAGATGAGATCATAAAAACGTTCTTCAAACATTCAAAGGATGGGAAGATAACCATACTAATTGTGTATGTTGACGAAATAATTCTCACCGAAGATGTCATGTATGAAATAAATGATTTGAAGTCCTCTCTCATCAATTTTTAAGACCAAAGACTTAGGATATCTGAGGTGTTTCCTTGGCATTGAGATTACCCAATCAAAGAAAGGGACTATTGTCTCTCAACGAAAGTATGTTCTTGATCTTCTCAATTAAACTAAGATGAGTAGGTGAAAACATGCAAACACTCCAAGTGATCCCAAATCATAAACTGAGAGATGGAAATCAAGGTGATCTAGTAAATAAAGTTAGGTATCAAAAATTAGTGCGGAAGTTGATATACTTATCACATGCACGGTCAGATATAATCTCTACTGTGATTTTGGTAAATCAATTTATGCATTCACCCTAGGAGAAACACCTGAAGCAGTTAATAGGATTCTTAGATACCAAAAAAGTACTAGGCAATGGGCTTACTCTTTCAGAAGATCACACAACAGAAAATAGAGGCATACACTAATGTATATTGAGAGGGCTCAATTATTGATAGAAGATCAACGTTCGGATATTCTATGTCTATTTGAGAAAATTTTGATTGAATGGTGGAGTAAAAAATAGAATGTGCTTGTGATGAGTGTGCCTAGGCAGAAAATAGAGCTATGGCTAATGGAGTATGTGAGATGTTATGATTGTAAGGAACTCTTGAAGAGTTGCAGATCATGATAAGCATGACAATGAAGTTAAATTGTGACAATAAAAAAGCCATAAGCATCGCAGAAAATCCAGTGCAACGTAAAAGAGAAGATTAATTGTAGAGCTATTTGCACATTGTTTATCCCTACTACTCAACAAGTAGCAGATATCTTCATCAAAAAATTTTTCGGGCCTAATTTTGAGCTTCTTGTGAACAAGCTGTGCATAAAAAATATCTATGCTGCAACTTAAGGGTGTTGGAATTTTAGGAAGATATTAATTTTAGTATCTTCTTTTTAGTATTATCTATTTTTAGAGATTAGTATTGTTATTATATTATAATTCTTGTTCTTTATCATGGGTAATTATGGCTAATTTTACAATTTTCCTAATGTGAGAGCCATCCCCCAATTTATTATGTAATTGTTTTATATGGAATTGGAGAGTAATACTTCTCTCTCCAAAATTTTCACCTAGAAATACTGAATCAATACAACGTTAAATTTCTCCAAATATTCTTCGTTAAATTTCTCAAATTAATCTTCAGTGAGTAACTTAAGATGTAAGAATGATATGTGCATGATGTTATAAAATACCACTGCTGTTCCGAGTTTTCTAATATTAAGAAACTGATATATACACTTAGCAGCTAAAAAGTTACTTGGGAAGTTAACAAACACCTTTCCTCTTAATCACTGAATTTAACTTTCTTGCTCTTCAATAAAAGGATGACCAAGAAAACTGTGTAATAGTTCATTGATAAACAAGAAATTTAATAAATTCTGCTTGAATGAGATTCCTAAAAACTGTTTTTTTGCGAAAGAAAATACATTAAAGATAAATCAAGCAATTAAAATTAATTTGGTGTGTACTTGATTGAAACTGGAATGTAAGAAATGCTGCTCAAGGGAGATTCCTTAATAACAGTTTTTACAATAAAAAAATTAATTAAATATGAAAGCAACCCAGTTAACCATAATTTGGAATTGAAATTTGAGAAAACAAAGAAAATATTTCATAAATGTTGTAAGACCAAGACAGTCAAGTGCGTACCTGAAGAGGATCCTGAAAATCATTCAGCAAAAAAACATTTGAGTCATCTGGAGACCTGGAAATATCATTTGCCGCATTAAGAAATACGCAACAGCAGATTGTCTTTTTAGACAAAACCTACCGGAAAGTTAACAGGCATGGAAATACCTTTCTAAGGGTCAGTGTAAGAAGTTTTTCACGCCAGTACTTCATATTATAAAAAATGCGCTAGCGAATATTGTAGATTTTTCTTCTGTACAAGGTATCAGAGAGAGAAAAATCATAGGGTAAACCCCCACTACTCCCCACAATATAGAGATATGAGGGAAGAGAGAAAAGGAGAGTAGCAAGCAAATAGAGAGAGAACAGAGGGCTCAAACTTCTATTCAATCAATGATATATTAATCAAATTTTAGGGATTCTTATTAAAAGCCATAGGGCTACAAGCAAATAAAGCAATGACACATTAAGAAGAAAATAAATCTTGATAAAAATAATAAGGAGAAAAATAAACTAAGTAAAACAAAATCCCAATATCACCGAACTACAAAACCTCAATAAGAAATAAAGTATTTAATTAATCTTACTAACAAAATCTAACATAAGTTTCAATCAAACAATCATCATCACCCAAGGGTCTGAATAACTTTCATTTGAAGAATTAAGTTGAAGGTAATCACCCAGAAGGTTGGGGATAGTGTATTAAAGCTCATCATAAGCCACCCACAAGTCACTAATGTGGGGTGATTTCACGATCAAATAAAATAATGTTGTTCAACCATAGAACTTAATGTAACTTCATCTAAGACTGCTGAACAATTCCTAGCGTAAGACTTGTGCATAATTGGAATTGTTGCCATTGGCGAAGATACAAAAACTCCTTTCATATAGATATTGTCTGTAGAAAGTTGAAAGGCTCAAAAAGATTAATATATATAGAATTAGATCCTCGCAACTAAAAGCCGAAGCAAGATTCATGTCAATAAAAAATCAATAATATATGAATTTGATCCAAACCTTTTTTTTTCTTTATTTTTCTAGAATTTTATGGGCCACTGCCTCAAGCACAAAGTTTCATAAAGGACTTAATAGGAGAAGCATTTAGGACAGAGCAGAATCAATATATGCCTGAAGAAGAAATGGAATAAAATTTATAGGTTTTCTATATTGTATTTCATGCAAAATTAAAGGTTAATTTCGTGATAGTATTGAAAGGGCTATTTCCACTCATGAAATCATTTCCACAGAAAGACATGGGCCCAAGTAAAATCTACATTGATGCCTTACCACGATGCATTAGGCACAGATGGGGGAGAATATAGTTCCAAAGCTTGCTGAACAGCTTTATTCCTTCGTTTGACATTGACTTACTATTCTAGCAACATCCTTCCTAAAATGTAGACGAATAAAATCTTTACCGAACAAATAATTTGTGTGTGTGTGTGTGCAAATTGGCTTTTAGAAATTTGTGGCAGGTGTGTAAATTGACCGAATTTATGGCAAGCCAAACAAGTACCAAAGCAAAAAAAAAAAAGTGCACGAAGCTATTTATTACACATGCCATAGAATTCGTGACTTTACGATCAGCGGGCTACAGACTACAGTATGTTCTGGCCACATTTGGAATCCTAAAATCCAAACCGCGGGATGCGGTGTCGGAATCATTTTGCGAATTTGTGAATCACTGCGACACAACGAACACGCCATTTGACTGGAATGTTCAACCGAAAGATTAAAATGCGATTTGGACCCAAAATGTAGTCCAGGAAGCCAAAACAAGCAGACCCTCACTCTCGACTACAAAACAATGTTTAAGAACAAAAGAATATTCTTACATAAATGTAGCCCTTCTTTCATGAAAAATATTCAGCTACTAATATTGCAAAGACCTCAAAGTTGATGATCAAAATAGGCATGTTTCAGATAAATTTAAGTTTGCTTCTTTATTCAAATCGGAAAGACAAAAACGATTGGCTAATAGTTTCAACCACATTTCAAAAAATTTTCTTGCTTAAAACAATTTTCCATAGCCAAGCTCATCATACTTTGCCATAGCAATGTTGTTACTTTCTAATGGAAAAAAGTGTTAAATTGGTCCCTGACGTAATAGAGCTTATAGAAGTGTCAATTTAGTGCTTGGACGCTTTTAATACGGTTTGAAATAGTCCCCAGTATGTACTATTTTAGCCCTCACTAAAAGAGTTTGGGTACTAATTTAGCATTTTATAAATTCTAGGGCTAAAATAACACAAGGTAAATGGTCAGGTGACTATATTGGCACTTTACTCCTTTCTGTGGTTTCTCAAATAGCAGCTTTTCCTACAACAATTTCCCAATAAGCTTTATATACATGTCAATCCCAATCAAACCCTGCAAGTCAAAGTCTTGGTAAAGAAGATAACCATTCATGTAAAGCATAGACCGCAAAATAAAATTTATTATAATAGATGGAGAGCTCTTCTCAGTATCATTAAAGTTCTCACTAAAGAGATAGAATCATTTTATTAACTTCATATACTACATGTTCTTACCTCAAGTGGTTGATAAAGAGTTCACACTGGTCAAGATCGGACAGACTATTTTAAACCTCTCAATTGCCAAGATTAACTCAATCAAATACTCCAACATGTGGCCATCAATCAAGAATGGTCTATCCGCAAGTGGATGTGACTAATGTCGTTCTCAATGATAACCTAAATGAGGTTGTTTAATTGGTTCTGTTGCTTAAAAGAAAAAATTGCATGTCTACACAATTTTGTTTATTGATTCAAACAAAGCCTAGAGCTTAGTTTGAATTTTTTTGCAAAGTTATTGATGAAATTGGCCTTTACAGTAGCACCACAAAACATTCTATATTCATCAAACATACAGTACCAGAAAATCCCTCATACTGGTTGTCTATTCTGATAATTGTTCACTAAAAAAAAATACACCAACCCCACCTTCTAAATTAAAATTTAACTAATATTCCGTAAAATAAAAAATAAAAAATAAAAAAAATATTTGAACAGGCCAACGTCGGTTCCGCTGAACCAATGCTAACCAGTTCCATTACCTAGAGGGATAAAGAAGTGTGCTAGATAAAGGGGCCAAAATGGCATGTGCATGCTTGGAATCAAAACCAAAGGAGTGGACTAGCAGAGCATCTCAGTATAAGATCTCAATCGAGAGCCTGAGCACGAGTTCTCTAGTGAATAATATACAAAATAAAGGATTTTCTTCTCAACAATAAATTTATTTAAATTTTGTTAATTATTTATTAAGATGGCATCAACTTAATAACATGATCTAAACAAGAGGGTTGAGAAAAGTTTTAAAAAACAAACCTCACAACAAAAACGTGTTGCTTCAAAATTGCAAAAAATTCACGAACTCCTCCATTGTAGAAGTACAGGGGAGCAAATGCAAGACCTATATTTAGCCACATAAAATCATGTTAATATGCATAAATAAAAAATACCAAGGCAGCCTAAAGATTGCAAACACTTTGAAATAGTTATATTTCATTTCATTTAAGAAAAATCAGCTTAGCTTATGGTAATGATTACTAAAACATGTGATGATATTTATTATAGATAGAGATGTTGGAGAAAGACCTCAACATCCTCGTGCTCGTCTCTTGAATAAAATAATAGAAAATGCATGTAATCAATAGCCTTACTCTAATGCCGAATGCATTCAAAAATAGAATAGAAGCTAGTTATAATGATTAGTTTGATCAAGAAAGAATAATCAGGTAACATAATTGAGCCTTCATTTGCAGGAAGGGCCCATAGAGAAAATAACTTCCAATGTTGAAAACATGTATTACAAATGCTAGGGGATAGAATTCGGGTCAGTAGATCCGATCAACTCAAGAGCAATTACAACTAACCCAGCACCACAAACTTATAGTGAGAGGCGAGAGGGATGGAATTCATGAGGAGTTCACACACGTATATTTCAAATAATAATAACAATAATCATAATAATAAATATAATACTCATTATTAATCTTATTATTATATTATTATTAATATTAATATTACTGGTATTGATACTAATATTACTGGTATTGATATTAATATTACTGGTATTGATATATATTAATTGCTTGTGATATATGCAATGGCATAGTCTTTGGGAATATTTTTTGTGAATAAATTTTAGAATTGGATTTATTTCCCTTTCCTTTCTTTTGTAGGGGTAGTTTCGTAGTTAGGAGTGTCTAACTGTTATCAAGGGGGGCAAAACTATTTATACCCATTTCCTTAAAGATAAAAGGGATTTTAGAGAGCTTACTGATCAACCTCCATGGATCAGCCTTTGTTATTAAAGCAATGGAAGTAACAAAGTTATATGCAGGAACAATTTTACCCATCTAACATATCAAGTTTACAATGAATCTATAAGGACGTTGACGGGGAGTAGATCTTCGGTTGCAAGAATCACCTATAAAGTTATTTGTTGTAATCTTGTTCTTTTTTTCTTTCCTTCTTTTCTCTTTTTTTTTTTTTTTTCCCCTTATTAATGTGTACTTAGGATCTATCCATCCTTTATTGAGTTTTCTGGCAGGAATCAGTGGCTGTTTAGACGTTTTCAGCCATTTTTTTGGGAAATAACAGAAGCAGTCATCTATCATAGGTGTTACTTGTTAGACACCTTCCTGCCTTGTTTTTTTACCGCAGGAAGGCCTTCATGTAAGGGCAGCAGGGCCGTTTACTTTCACGGACCATTGCAATGCAAGGAAGCAATTTGAAGCTGATGCGGAATCTATCAAAGGAAAGCGGCATGCCAGTGACCAAGTTAAACAGGAGTATTATTCCCTGGCATTTTCTAAGCCCAATTCCTGGTATTTGTGCCTTCATTTCACTTTGTCTGGACAGTCAAATTATCTTTCTATGTATTAAGAAGCCTTCTTAGGAATCTAACTTTGTTTTAAATTTCTAGAAAGTAATATCAATATGTAATGTACTTAGGTATGTATGTATATATAGGTATATGCATGTATGTATGTCTATAGCTATGTGTTTATATCCGCATGTATCGATATATATTATATGTGGCCAGAATATTAAAAAAATTTGCAAGAAAAAATAAAATATAAGCACACAAAACACATCCATAAAAAAGTTATCTAGATAAGTAAGATTTCGTTCGTCTTATTTCATAAAGCAAAATAACAAACAGTTATCCTAAGTATTTCAATGAGTTCTCACAAGATGAAAAGCTTACGGCACAAATTAGTGCCTTAGCCGTATTCCAAATCGACAACCATGAAGGTCTTACGTTTAATTAGTACAGTTGATTATGAGTATCACATAGCTAACTTCACCAAAAGCTCGTACACAGATAATTACCTGATGAAAGGACAATAATGATGTACTGCCAACCAAGGGCTGGGATGTGTCTTCTTATAGAGTGGATATCAGTCAAAGAAATTGGTTTGATGGTGTACAGGTTTCGCTCTGCATTTGGTTACAATAAAGGTGTGGACAAAAAAGTAAGATCGTCATCATTTAGACAAAAAAACAAAGCAAACAAGTATGCCAATTGATCTGATAATCTAACCTTTGTCCGATACATTTGAGTTTAAGTTTCTCCCCACTGAGCCAGCTAAATTAGTCGTTGCTTTATAGGGTATCCATGTCTGTGTACAGCGCAATAAGAGCATGAGAAAACAAAAAAACAATTTCTTATACGTGAGGCTAAATTATCAGAAGTTTATCAAAGTATAACAAAACCAATTAAAATCAGAGAAAAAAAACTAGTGTCGGCCTAAACATTACCAATAATCACGGCGTGCGTCCAGAAATAAAAAACAGAAAACAACAATAAAGAGGTGAAAAAGAAAAGACAGGAATTACACCGTACCAAGAAAAACGAAGAACCCTGCTTAATAATGCGTAGACGGCCGCTTATCCGCCCCGCAGCGTACTGACTCGGGTGAACTGCAACGTTTTCTTTTGAGTACACCACCTCGGATTCACTGGAATCGCTCATCCGACCGGAGTTGACGCTGCTCGTCGACTCCTAAGAGATGGAATCCATAGAATGTTAATCACTGGAATAATTGTTAATTGGATCCGCAGGCGAGGGTTTCAGGAATTAGTAGACTAGAGAAAGGCCGATTAGTTTCTACCTGTTGCTGCAAGGCGGTGTAGTCGGAATCGTCGGAGAGATCGTGGAGATCCGCCTCCTGCATCGCCGGAGATATTTGACGGTAAGAAGAGGATTGGGTTCCAAATGGAACCAGAGGAAGCTCAAGGAGCCTTCGCAGTAGCTAAAAATTTTATTACATTTGGCATTAGCAGTTCAGAAGATTTACATGCATAGCCCTCAACTCTTATATATTTACATTAATAACACTACAATTTTAATTTTATTAAAAGTTGAAACAATAGTATTTTTTATGTGAAAAGAATGAGTTGAGTGGTTTAAATATAAAAATAAAGTTCAAATGTCACGTATTTAAGTACACAAGAATTGGATGGTATGTATTAAAAAGCACCATTAAGTTTTTTATATGCATCATATTCACGTCAGTGTAATATATGAATAGTAATGCACATTTACATATTGTTAAATCTTTTTATGACGTTAGATATTGTATTGTTTGTATTCAATAAAACCCAAGAAAAATTTATGTAAAAATGTGAAGGAATTTTCTCGAAATCTTTATTATGTGTTCACTCGATGACATTTTCTCGACAGAGCTAAGAGAATGATCTAACGATCAATGATCGAAAGAGAGAATGGGTCCGAGAGCTTTTGAGATAATCACGGAGTGAGATACCTCAAAATGACAGAGTGGTAATCTGTCTATTTTTATTTTAAGATAAATTTAATTTAATATATAAGTAATTTTGATTTTGAAAAATGAAATTTTCTAATTATTTTAAAGAAAATGAGTCTGAATAGAGCTCATATTTTCAATTGTTTGAATAATCAAGCGCAATATATATCACTTGATAATAGTTTCAATTATTCAAACGAAGAGATTTAAGATATTTATTTGGTCTATGAAATTTTCAAATAATCATTCTGCGACCTAATATAAAGATTAGATAGTGTTTAGATTATTAGGAAAACTCTCCTATAGACGCAAGCCCCTATAGTTGATTACATCATAAGCAACCGAACTCAATTAACAAACCTCTTGATTAAGGTCGCGGTTTCGTCTTCAAGAATTCAAAGTTTATTTTTCACGATCGTTCGTAGGAAAATCAAGTGAGAATGACTCAATGTGGAACAGTTATTTTTTGAATCTGAATGAGCGAAAGGTAGATGATGTCATAAATTCTAAGGAAAAACCCAATAACTTCTCAAACTATCCTAATGTTTAGTTTTGCATTTCTAAAATGATGTTATTCGATGTTTATTCTAATCCTTTTTTATTTTAAATCTGGGGCTTACATTGTGTGACATACGACCAAAGCAAATAGACTTGGAAGATGTGAGGATTTACGTCGTACCAAACGAACATCGTAAGAATCCTAAAAAGAGTTAGGACTTATATCACACGACGTACAATCATGCGAAATCCTAAAAAATTGTGTGAGGATTTACATTGCGCTAGACGAACAACCTCGAAGTCTTAAGGGTTTATGTTATTTAAAACTATGGAAAGTTTAGTTGAGGGTCATCCTGTGCTTCATGTTTTGTTTTGATCGTCACCTGAAGAATGTTCATTGCTCGATCACGTCGTCACCTCGTTTCATGAAAAGAGAGGGGAGGAAAGAAGCCATGTCTCAAACAATCTATATTAAGTTCTTTGCTTTAGTGATTTTAGAAATTACACTTGAGTTTATGATTATTATTTTTATTGTTGTTTATAATTTAATAAATGGGTTTATGAATGATTAACTTTTTTGTGAAGCTACCGAATTGGTTGCATGTCATAGGGTTTCAGCCTAAACATTCCTCCTAGTCCGTTGTCCTAGGGCTTCTCATGATAAAATAATAAATTAAAGTTTTCCACCCTAAGCATATGTCATTTGTTCACTACCCTAAGGTTATTTTCCACATGACAGAAACACAGTAAATAACAGAAGAATTGCAATATCTAGTACATATACAGTCACTTGTAGTAAAAGAGAAAGTGATTGTGCGTACCTCTAATGATATCTAAGAAAAATTACAATTATATATTACATATGTGTACCCATAGAGATTAAACAAACATTGAATATTTTGAAATTCTTATATTAAAACATAAGCATGCATATTTTTGCAAAATCAGGTGATATATATATATATATA